TCTGAACATGACCCTGATGCATTCATATTGTCTTCAAGCCACCTGATTTCATCTGCTACGTTTCACATCTGTGCCAGAATCTACCCTTTAGATTTTAATTCTGTTATCTCTGCACGAGTCTGTCAGACAGATGGGTTTTTCATCTGATTATTTGCGTTGCTTTTATTCGTACACACATATACATATTCCTGATTTGTAAACTTGATTTTGATTCGGTCGTACGGAGGCACAGACAGACAAACAGACACACACACATAGGGTGAACTATTTTGTCATTAAAATTGTTCTGTAGAGACCAGAATAAAGGAAAATTCAAAGGATCCAAGTGAGGAGAATACGGTGGGTACATGAGAGTTTCCTATTTGAACACATTAAACTTCTGCAAAGCCTTCCGTTTTCGTGGTGGAAAATGACTTTTCCGGTTTGCCAAAATCGGTCTTTTTCTTGATCCCAAGTGTCTTCAAATGTTGAAAGACAAGTTCTTTCATAGAAAGTTTCGGTTTATTTTCCACGATCTTTAGCCGAGCTTCTTCAACAACATCGAAAGATCTCAGGAGCGTGGTTGATCGTTTTCCGTTTATACTCAAATATAGGACATGTTTTTATGATCAGTTTTTCATGCAACAAATAGAGAGTTGCACTATACACAGGTATAGATATTGATGTTAAAAATGAACAAAAACAAAGATACGGTATCTAAATCTTCGTACCAGATATTTTACGGTAATTGGTTTTCTAACCATTGTAGAATAGCTTTATACATAAAAATGAATGAAGGCTACTTATTTGCTGATCCACAACTTTTTTTTAAGCGTTTCACCCCAACCGAGGCGGGAAGCCACTAGCACGCATGGGCTTACAGAGAGTTGGAGCGAAAACAAAGAGGAGTGATAGAGAAAAGGATGAAGAGAAGGATAGGGGATAGATCAAGGCATCTGAAGACGTCGATTGACATTACATTTAAATAGTTGGAGATTATAGCTATCAGGGAAACAGGAAGAGGGGGGGAGTTCCACAGGTGAGAGGTGCGAGAGATGAAGCTATTTTAGGAGAAGAGACGGCTAAATTTAACAGTTTCGACAATGAAAGGGTGAGAGCGACATTCCAACCTAGCTGAACGCTTAAATTCATGAAGTCTGGAAACCAGCGAAAGCAGCTCATCGGAGCAGTTACCATGAAAGTATTTGTAAAAAAGACAGGGGAAGGCGACGGCACGTCTGTGAGAGAGCGACTGAAGATGAGATGCCAGATCAAGGCCAATTACATTGCATATCAATCTCTGGATTTTATCAAGGACCTTAAGAAGGGGCTCCAGACCATATATAGCAGAAATACGCCATGCAAAGCCGAATGGTTGATTTGTAGATTTGAAGGATCGACTCCGGCGAGAAAATTTCTAGGCGTGGACAAGGAGACAACTTTCCTTGCAGTGGACGAAGCTATTAACTTAATGTATTTGTTCCATCTCAGGTCAGCAGACAATGTGAGACTGAGCAGTAGAGCCTTGGGGAACATCTACGTTCGTGGGATAGGAGCTGGAGGAGAAACCGTTGAGAACGACCTTCAATACACGGTTTGACAGGAATTATTGTATTGTCAAACAATCAACCTGAAATTCCATAACCCTGAAGCTTTCGAAGAAGGCCGGCACGCTAAACCCTATCAAATATATCTGGAGCCACGGCACGAGCTTGTCCGTCATTATAAAGCGATTGGTAAACAACTTCAGTTATGGCCGTAAACATATCAGCTGAAGAACGGGCAAAGCGGAAACTATATTGCTTGTCGGAGAGCAGATCATGGGATGTAAGGTGCTTAAGAACTTCGGCGTTGATTAAAGCTTCGAAGACTTTGCCGAAGAGGGGTAGGAGACTGATAGGACGGTAATAGTCAGAAGGGTCTCCAAGACAGGAACAATTAATGAGAACTTCCAACAGGCTGGAAAACAAGATTCATTGAGGCAATAGTTATATAATTTGGAGAGGGCAGGGGCCAGTTCAGGCGCACATATCTTCAGGACAATGGCTGGTATCCCATCTCCACCACTAGCCTTGTGGGGGGGACTAATTTAGAGATAATGCCCAATACCGATGACGTGGTTATGTGCAACTCATTCGATAGAGCCTCTAAGGGAGGAATCGTGTGTGGGTACACCACAAGAGTCGAGCGTTGAATTGAATGAGAATTTCCGAGCAAAGCATACAGCCTTGTCGACAGAAGAGGTCAAAACCTCAAAATGGTTGAACAAAAGATTTATGGAGGGTTTGCTATTGTCAAGTACGCTCTTGCAGAGACGCCAATAATCCTTGGAGCCGAATTTGCAAGATGTGTTCTTTCATTTGAGCAGCAAATAGTGACTTTCCTTTATAGAGGACACGCTTACACCCGTTACGGGCAGAGACAAAGAGACGTCTATTGCAATCAGACATGTCGCTACGATATAGGTGGAAGAAGCGATTCCTATGGGTAATGGCAGCTGATCAGGCAGCGGAGAACCCAGGGGAGGAGCGCGATTTGATCTTATATTTCCTTGAGGGGATGAAAACCTCGATTCCAGCTTTAACCCAGGAGGAGACCTCGGAACCACATTCTTGAGCGTAGTCAACATCGCAAAGGAAATTCCGGAACGAGTCCCAGTCTGCTCGTTGATAGCAGAACGAGGTTCTAGTGGTAGGAGGTTCTTTGCAGGGGGTGGAGTTGAAGGAGATGGGGGAGATGTAGGAGATGTTGAAGGAGAACGATAAATGTTTTCAATCTAGAATACAGCAGAAATCGTCAAAAAAAAAACAACAAAAAACACACGCCAGTATCAAGTCTCGGATAATGAAAATCAGGAAATGAACTCTTAATTATCTGATAATTATTCATCGAACTAACACGTTTCTTGTGGTGATATTTACTTAAAAGATGGAGTTTCATCTACACCAAGTTCCCACTCTTCTACTTATTTTCCCTGATTACATTTGTAAACCCAGTTTTTTTCAAATACTACACTGCTGCTTAGTAAACATCTCAGGTTTATTAACTAGATTTATTTATTCGGGAATCTCATTTTTATGACAATTTTCAGCTAGATTTTTCCACTTGTATGTACCTTGTCCCTTCAGGAAGTAAATAAAATAAGGTTCATGATAATAAGACGTATATATATATATATATATATATATATATATATATATATATATATATATTATATTCATGAATCATTCATACAAAAAACAAATATATAGAGGTTAATGATTTAAATGGCGAGAATACATCGTCGCAAACAATATAAATAAGATACATCAACCCCGAACCTGTATATGAATGATATGATCCCCGTTTATAAATTCCAGTTGCATAAGGTCTTTTTAATTTTTTACAAGCTTTCGTCTGTTCCTACAGACATCGTCTGGTATGGAAGTAGATTTTGTTCTTGTTTTTACTTCTCAGTAATAAGAGGACAACGAAAATAGAGATGTAATCCGAAAAATGCTATGAGAGTTTGAATTTAAATTTTAAGATTTATATTTGCACCTTTTAATTGAAATATATACATATATATATATATGAATAAAAAGACAAGATGAAAACTGTACTTAGCCTTGTGCCGCAATTGTTATATCTTCAACAATAAATAGACGGGCTTATTTTATTTTGCCGCAAGTATCCATTCGATAGTTACTCAAAATTTTGAAATTTAAAAACGCTCATAAATATTCCGCATGTTAACTGAAAAGTTTAGGTGTTAGATTTTAGATTACGTCATAAAGCATCTTCGTAACTACTTATTTAAGACGTTGCATACTGAGAAAGACAATATTCGAAAAATGAAAATGACGCGATTGGAGGAAGTCTTGCGAGGCGACCATCTTTCTCATCAGGATCTGATCCGATTCTTTGAGTATCAGCTCAAGACGAAGTTTAGAACTGATAGAAAAAAGCCTTTAGCGAAAGGCATGTGACTGAGGCGAGCTTGGTTCACTTGAACGGGGCTAGCCTTGATTTTCTCTTTTAGGTCAACCTGTATCACATCGGGATCGTTCCCTGTGGAGGCCTTCCCTGGTTAGGCTAGACAAACTTTTTTGTACCACGTGATTAAGTGTTGTCCCTGGCCTGCTCCGGCTACATCTTTGGTTATGATCCAAGTTAAGATTCTCAACCTCACCAGTTTGTTTTGACCTCCTTTCATCTCGACCGGGTCAGCTTTATTGATTCCCCATGCCCGTCTATATTTTCTCTTTTCCTTCTCCCTTAGCAAGAGAGCCTCTTGATATTGTTCAAGGGCAGAATAGAGCAGCTTCTCTTTTCCGAAGGGTTGGACGGGTCCTACTCACATCAGTTATGTTTGTTTTTGCTTTGTTTTGATATTTAATTTGTTTTGGGGGTTCACTCTCTCTTTTCATGATCATTCATCCGATTTGTATATATATATATATATATATATATATATATATATATATATATATATATATATATTGTAAATAATATTTATCATCTCATTGGGGTGAGGATGTGGTATTATGGTACATGAAGGATTCATGGAAGACGGATGAATTTTTATGCTGAATGAGGAAATTGTAACTAGTGAATGGGTTGTGAATCCGATTAGCTAGGTATCAGATAGTTAGTGAAGACCACTCTCAACCCATTCCCCCTTTTCAGCTTTGTGCCATAATTGTATTAATTTACAATAAATCTCAATACCTCCAAAGCATGACCGGAATTCGAACACAGTTCTTCCATTTCTCACTTCAAGCGGCTATATATTACACCACCGCGTACCCCTATATCCTTATACACACACAAACACATTTGTGTATATGTGTGTGTATGTGTGTATAAGCGTAGATATCGAGTGGCGACAGTCAGTTTCATGTTTGAACGCAATCTTCAGGCTATGTGTTTAGTCTTTTGGCTCAACTATACACACACACACACACACACACACACACACACACACACATATATATATATATATATATATATAATTATCTAGCATAATAGTGTCTATACATATGTTTAATTCTGTTTATATCTATCTATCTATCTATCTATCTATGACCGTTAATATATACGTTATACGTAACATTGTCGTATTAACAGTTGTCTTCCCCGCATATCTCCATAAATTGTGTCATTTATAAATGTAACACTCTACATCGAGTGGCTCTTAGGTTTTAACAGTTGTAAACCATAACAGTATAATTTGCTTTATATATATATATATATATATATATATATATATATATATATTATTTATTAGTGAAGTTTATTGTTATAGTTAGTGAAGATCAGCCTCAACCCCTTGCCCTTTTTTGACCTTATGCCATAATTGTATTAATTTATATCTACTTTCACTGGTTCCCAAACTGCATAAATTTAAGCGTGCTACTAGGTTGGCATCTCGGTCCCACCCTTTCACTGTCGAAACGGTTAAATGTAGCTGTCTCTTCTACTCAAACAGCTTCTTATCCCACACTTCACATCATTGGAACTCCTTTCATTTCACTTGCTTCCCGGATAGCTATTATCTACAAATATTCAAATGTAATGTCAATCGACATTTTCTGAAGTCTTGACCTTGATCACCATATTTTTATCCTTTTCGCAAACACTCCTCTTTACTCTTACTCTCACTCTCTGTAACCCCTTGCGTGCTAGTGGCACTCCCGTCTTGCTTGCAGGGATTTGCTTAAAAAAAACAAAGAGCTGAAATCTGTTAGATACCTCATGTGGGAGGAGGGTTTGTAAAACTTGACCCTCATATTGTGATCAAGGGAAATAGTGGATGGCAGCATGTCATTTACTTAATGAGATTGTTTGGATGGTTGATGAAGTAGAAAAGAAGGGAATTTGAGAAAAAGAGAAAATCTGCCGTGAAGCTCTAAGGATATGAAGCTGTCGAGAGCCATGAGCACCAACGTCCTGGAGAAACATATCTTATAGTAGAAGAAAAACATTCCAAATTTCATTTTGGGAGAGGGACCTCTTAATTTGGCCTTGTGGAGGAGGTAAAAAGGCTTATTCTTCTGTAGAACAACTCTTAAATGCTTCATTTTCAAACCGGTTCGGCCTGTTCGATACAGATTGAATCATGCTTCTTCCTTTTGTCAATACATTTAATCCACTCTTTCTGATTGTATTATGATAGTGACATATTTTTTACTGTAAATTGATTTTAATCATTAAAAAATGCTGTTTTAGAATATGTTTTTTTTTATATCTAACCATTTCAACTGCAAATCGTGAGCCCTTGCTGCCAATCAAGTAATGCGCAGAAATTCATGAAGTCTGCGTACATAGGGGAATGTAAGTAAAAAATTAATATAAATACATGTACACACGCACAATCACATACACACACACACACACACACACATACATACATATATATATATATATATATATAGATAGATAGATAGATAGATAGATAGATATTCATCAATCCCGGCTTGAAGTAATGAACGTCAAGCCATCCTGAGGAGCCGTGATACAGGAAAGCATTCTGTCTTTGGATGACTATACATACATACATACAATACATATATATATATATATATATATATATATATATATATATATATATATATATATGCTTCAGAATATATTTTGTTTTTTACATCTAGCCATTTCAACTATAAAATCATGAGCCCTTGTTCCTAGTCGGGTAATGCGGTTAAATTCATAAAGTCTAGGTAACACAGAGTAGTGTTAATCAAAATAATTGGTATATATATATATATATATATATATATATATATATATATATATATGCGCGTGCGTTTGTGAATACTCATGAAATTTTTAGTCGCTGCCAGCAATAAAATCTTCTTATTTTCACGCGGCAGTCGCATCATGTAATCTTTTTGTTTCAATAACTCTTATTGTTTCGGTTGTATATTTTGCATGCCTTTCTTCTTCTTTTCTTCTTCTTCTTCTTCTTCTTCTTCAGATATATATATATATATATATATATATATATATATATATATATATATATATGTTTGAATACCGTGAAACTTTTTAGTCGCTGCCTGCAGTAAAATTAAAGAAATGTTTTTTTTTTTTACATATATTTTGTTTTCTCTGTTTGTGTACACATTTTAAATACCTTGCGTTGCGCACTGTCTTTTCAATGTCTACAAACTTGAACCGCTATTATGTAGAACAGACTTCAGCGTCTATGCTTCGCCATCACTAAAATCTTAACCACTTCAATTTTATAATCAAGCGTTATCTTTCCTACATATCCTCATGATCCACATATCATCTCTTTTTACCTCCTCTTAAATTTCAGTTGCATTTTGTAACATTTTAGATTCAGTGGCTCTTGGGCCTTGTATCGGGTGAACACTTAGTATATTTATATAGATATAATTATCAATAAATGTTCACAATACTTATTTGTGACTGGCTACAACTGACAAGCCTGTCCACCGAGAGCTTGTACTTAATCGACAGAAGCGGCGTTACCTGGCGGGAAAAAGTCTAATACTGAAAAACTCAAAACTTTTAATGAAACCACGAAAAAATTACTGACGCCTCATCTCGGAACATTCGAAGAATTTTATATTAAGAATCAGGTCTTCAATTGTTTGTTCCTTATATCTAGGTATGGTGAACATTTTATTTATCGATAACAATATTGATTGCTCTACTTATATGTGGAGCACGTTTACTGACAAAATTCTCATAACTTTGACATATTTCAAATAACATAAGCTTATCATTATAAATTATATATAAGGACAACTCTGAATTCAAAAGGGTCGTTTGGGGACCTTGTGGCACGTAATGCACCAGGTTTCTGTGTTCGGCCCTTCAAAAAGTGTGGATGGTCCTGCACGAACCCTTAACCACTATAATCAAATCTCATGTGCTGTTGTCGGGCTGTTGGTTTTCTTTGGAACTGATATGCTTTACCCTCATACGTCGACAGGAGAGTCGAATATATATAATAATAATCATAAACGACTCTCCCGTTGAGATTCGACGTATGAGGGTCAAGCAGATCAGATTCCAGGAAACCGACAGCCCGATACCGGCACATGAGATTTGATTATAGTGGTGAAGGCCTCGTGCAGGACCATCCACACTTTTTGAAGGGACGAATACAGAGACTTGGTGCAGCGAATGCCACAAGGTTCCCAAACGACCCTCAGCAGGTTTGGAATTCAGAGTTGTCCTTCTCCTAGACCAGTTGCCATCCAATATATATATATATATATATATATATATGATGGATCTCCCGTCGTTTGCGACGTATGAGTGCATGATGATGTTTCGTATGAGACAACAATTCTGTACGTGATTTGCAAAGCAAACAAATCCACACGAAGGCTATATTGAAGGGTTGACCGTCATACAGGTTGATGTATTATACCGAGATTTAGTGTTAATTCTTAATTCTCTCAGATGGTTGAGACTATTTTTTCAAAGTTACTTATACCTCGGTAGAAGGTGTCTTTCCAGTTTGCACGCTTTTTGTTCAACAAATTCGAAATACTCTATAGGGATGCTTTCAGGATTTAAATTGTATTCAAGCTTGTCCTTAAGCGTAATCATATATATATATATATATATATATATATATATGAAAAGAAAATGAACAAATAGTAAACGTATATCCATGTAAGATATTTCAGTTCTATTAAAGCTTTGCCAGAGACTGAGAGAATACAGACAAAAAGACAGAACTTTGGTTATTTTCAATTTTGTTCGGGTCAATTTTCATTGGTCAGTCGCGTATCACGTAACAAAGGAAATTGAGACAGGCCAGATCTGGCAAACCTGGTTGCATCGGACTGTCGGATGCTTGACCTGTCAATGTCCGCCTTGATTACGCCAGTAAAACTTGCACTGCCCTCTTCCGCCGGTTTGGCCGTTAAGATCCTGTACCGAATATCCAGCTAAGATCGAACTGACTACACAATCGTGACTGATCTAACGAGACAAGCTTCCTAACCATTACACCATGTCGAAGTACTAAATCATTTTCTGCATAGCTTAAATATGGCACAAGGCCGAATGTATGAAGTATCCGCTGAGGATAGGACTCGTAACTTAGTCGTAATTGATCTAGTGGGACAAGCTTACAAACCATTACCCCACATCGAATTGCCCAGTGACGTCGCTTAGATATGAGAAAAGGTCAAACTGTGGTGAAACAAGTTAGGATCGATCTCACTACCCAGTTGTAACTAGTCTAGCGATAGAAGCTTATTAAGTATTAGATCAAGAGAGTGAAGATATATATATCGTCAATTTATCTGATGATAGGACAGGGAAAAGTGAATTTATGCCTTTCATGGAGGCACTATTGCTGAGGAAACAAAATCATCTTCAACTAGGGTTACGTACTTCTTTCTGCTGCTTTTGTTTTCTGTGTTGGTAACGTCACCGAAAATTAGATAAATAAAAAGCAAGGTAATTTTTACGCACGAAATTCCGTCCCAGAAATTGTATTGACAGAATTAGCCTCGTGTATACATCACACTGGACAACAAATGTGTTAACTGTATACTTAGTTGTTCTGATGAAATCCATCCCAGTTATTTTATTTAAGCACTTAACAAAAGCCATGTCGTGTATTTTTTTTTTTTTACACGTCGGAGCTACAGAATGTCAAACGGATGCTTTTCTCTGGCACTGACCCAAAAATTCTTCTTTACGTTCTGTCCGACATGTTTTTTTTTTTTTCATTTGTCCTTTTTTTTATTCCTTATTTTAATTTCGCAAAAAAAGTGCATAACAATGTGCAAATGCCGCTAAGGGTGTATGTATGCGTGTCATTTTACATGTTGCCATATATCGTGAGTATGCATATATATATATGGGTGTGTGTATGTTTTTGGAGGTTTTACTGTAATTGAACGTTCTCATATTAATGTGAATGTGTGCGCCAATGGGATTATGACTGTGTCGATCTTCCTTTAGAATCACCAGCAAACTAACGATGGCTTGAAAGTCGAGCTTGTTAACTCTTTTCGTTCAATAAATGCCCGAAACCATACTGCGTGTGCGTGGACAAAGAGAATGTGTATATAAAATAACGAAAGTTGGTGGCC